GACGGCGTCTTGGGCAGCACGAACAACCAATCGGAGAGCTCGGCATTTGTTCGGAGCCGTTCGGAGCACGTGGATTTTTCATAACACAGGCGGCCTTTCTGCTACCGCTTGTCTGGGGTTCGTATCCGTGCAGCGGTATGTCGACGCTAACACGATTTAAACTCGCCCGAATGCCGAGGCCGGGATGCGTAACCACGCCCATAGACTGCTACGAATTCGATCGCTACCAAGTCAACACAACTGTCATCGTTGGTAAAAGACGGCCCGCAGTCGTTTGCAAAGCGACGTAGATGGGAACAAATTGCCGCGGCGTTTTTTGCGGCCTCGGAAATGCAGGAGCGAGCCGACGTTAAAAAAGATACGTTTGAACTACGACAGTGTAAGCAAGAGCCACGTAAATGCTTGTTTACACTACGGAGCGGACGCGCGCGTTTGATCGATGTGCTGGATTTGCGCTGTTGGACCGCGAATTAATAAGCGCTTCCGGACCGATCCTTTACAATTGCAACTCGATGCTGACGTGACACCCGGCGAAGACAGGTTGGACCGGCATTGCGACCAACGAACTGTTACAGCGATCGACAGTGAGGTGCAGTCGTGTCAGAATAAAATGGAATACTAATAACAAAGTGTGCATACCATGTTCAGAAGGTAATCCATACGGCATTTATTTGAGCTTGAAATCACACAAAACAGAGATAGAATCGATGAGAGCCCCTTTTCGACGACAGCGTTCGTCACCGTTGCCTCGGAAAACAAGGAGATGACAAGAGGAAGAGATTGACCTCTTAATCTAGAATTGAGGTCAGCGATCAAACTATAATACGGGAAGGGTTCACAAGGGTCGCGCGGGCATATTCCATTTAGCACGCCCGCCGGTCGTGGGCAGACGGTCTTCGCCAAGGACCGTCAGATCATCGCTGCGCCGAGTCGGAGTGCCTGCTAGGCCTATCTGCCGATCGGTCGGAGTCCGTACTCGTGGCCTTTGGAGTTTTTCCCGGGTGTCTGTGGATCCAGCGTTTTTGTTCGTTCGTCGTGGTCTGTTTCAAGCACTCTTTACTTGTTTCTTGCTGCTTGAAGTCGGGACGCGTGAGAAGCGCACGAAGAAATATAAACATCCGTTGGTTGTCGCGACCAACTGAGCGACGCTGTCGGCCATGCAGATTTGATCGTAAGAAGTGCGTAAGACAGCTTCGGAGCTGTCGTAGGATTTCGTCGTAACCTGCGCAAAACTTACGAAAATTTCGTTTCGTGAATACGGATTTGTTCTTAAGTTTTGTCTTACGCACATTTTTGGCGTAAGATCGTTTCGTGAATCTGGCCTCTGGCCTCTGAACTCTGGGAGCGCTGCCGCCGACTGCAACAGACAAAGCGAGGCGCGCGCGCATAGAACGCCCGCTCGCAGCGCCTGCGTAGCGGATGCGCCTGTCCCTAACACGTGACCTGCGAGAGACCGCGGAAGTTCCCCGCCGACCCCCCCCCCCCCCCCTTCCTCCAATCACGCATGTGCGCGCTCGCTAGCTGGGAGCAGACCCTACTGGAAGCAAGGGGAACAGATCAGATCCACCCATCACCGTGCGGTTCCAGTGCGTTGCGTCTTACTGGATCCGACTGGTTGCACCCAGAACAGCGCGGTACCAGATCGGGGTCGCGCGGATCTGAACTGTCCACACGTCTAGAACCACGCGGATCCGAGCTGGAACCACTCCGATCTGACATTTTCGTGCGGGTACGCAGATGACATAGTACTTATATAACTGCAGCTATATAAATTAACTGGAATATGTGGAGAGGAAGGGGACAGCTTGGGCCTGAGTTTTAGCAGTGACAAGTCTGCAGTAATTGCGCTCAATCACGAAAAGAGGGAACCCCTGAAAATACAAGACATTGAAATATACCTTGTGGAAAAATACAAATATTTGGTGGTTCATGTCCCTAAGAAAGCGTGTTCCACGCTTTCAGCTTACTAGCGGGTAAATTAACCTCACAACCGACTGCGCTTACATTAAAGATTGTAACGTGTCTTACGAGCGATAGTGAGGAACATTCAGCAACCAATGTGAAAAGCGATTTTTTTTTTCATACCTCCTATTGTTAAAAAGTAAAAAGGTTCAACATAGGAAATTTAGCAATAGGCCCAAATACACATCTCGGATTGCGATGAGTGAACTGTAGCGTTTAGTTTAAAGTGTAAAGGGTCATAAGTTTTTACATGGAGCTATTCATATCTTGTTCAAAGAGATAATCGGTTTCCACTTTTCGGCGACAATGATCGCTGCTGTTATTCTACATTTTCAATAAATATAATACCCCATTCACACGACTGTAAAGGTACCTTTAGCTAAGGGACCTTTATTCTCTGCGGCTAATCAATTAACTATCTTCCGCGCGTGGCGTGTGCTCGCGACCCAAGAGCACGGGATGATTCGCCGATAGCAAAGGGACCTATCCTAAAGCACCGCCGGACTGGAAGCGCGCGCTCGGCCTTTGCAATTGGGGCAATCGCCACCTCCAGCCGCAATTCGCGGGGGGCGCTGTCACCTCACGCCTGGCAGAGCGGTATATGGGGAGAGTTTGGTCAGTCTATGATCTCGCCGCCATAACGCTCTCCTCCCGAGTGAGCCAATCAGCACGCGGCGTAGAGCAAGAGGCATGAGCGCATGCGCGTGAACTCCCGGCTGCTCCCACCTGAGTGGGGAGGGCCGCCATCTTCGATCATTCTCCTGGCGGAATGCGTGGGATCGGCATCTAAATCTCGATTATTGCCTTTTATATCGCTGGCTCTGGCAAGAAAATAACATTCTGTTATTCCTCGGTGGGTTAAAAAGCTAATAAATGAAGATTTTTCGGCGTATGGCCACAAACTTTTATTCAGGCGAAAAAGAAGTCGGCCCGTAGCAGACGACGCGTAGCCTCAGCAGTGCTCTTCTCCGACCAGTCTCCGACAGCGTTGCTAAAAAATGGCGGTCGTCTCCTCTCTGCTCCCTTCTTTCTCTCTCGCTCCTTCGGCGCTCTCCTCCCTTTCATTTACTTTTCTTCTCTCCGGCGCCTTCGTCGCACACCCACTGGCCAAACTCTCCCAATATACGGCTCTGCACCCCTGGTAGAGTTGCGCGTTCATGCATAGCATGTGGATACAACTCCTCACGTGACTGAATTCGGCGAATAGCAGCGCCGTGCGTTCGGGGCGCGCGGCACGCTCGAAAGCCGGGGAACGTACGCCGGGGCGCGTGCAACGTCTACTTTGCTACACGACACTTGATACGGCTCCTCACGTGATCGGATCTCGGCGAATAGTGGCGAGGGCGGCACGCGGCACGTGGAATCAAACGCGCAACTCTGGCTCCCGTAACTCTAACCCCTGGGCTACCCTTTGCCGTTTGCACAGAGCGCGTCTGACAGTGTATCTCAGCGCTGTCGCAACTTGCGGCCGAGAATTTTATAGCCTTGGACACCTGATCCTTACGTTTAGACCCTCAGCCACTATCTAATGCGCTTCTGATGAGCCCAAAACGGTGAGTATTTGACGCACATCTCCGAGAGATTCGGAAATAAAAAGTAGTAAGTAGAGACAGCGAATGCGATTGCGGAAAAACTATACTTGTCTTTACCTCCAGTACTTCTGTCGCAACTCAAAAACAGGAGGAGACGGGCCCCTTCTACGTGGAGGAACTTTAAATGATAAATAATTCGTACACTCCCGTGAAATGTAAGCAGGCCCATCTATCCATTGCCGTGGTCTGTATCATCATTTCATATAGGCCGCACACGAAGTCGGTCAGCTGCTCTAGACGAGGGTGTAGTAGTCTGTACAATTTTCGCACAGTGCATATTAAAGCCTAAAGTGCTTCCTCGAGGGCTTGTGCACATATCCAGCTGATTTTTAGTTTCTGTGACCGTCTTTGCATGGTTAATCAGAAGTATTCTGAGGAATCGTTGTCAAAACAACCTACGAAGCTCGAACACCAGCGCAAAGCAGCTCGAAGGGACTCTTCGAGTGAAGTGAAGTGGGGTGAGGTGGTTGCGCCCCTGGCGGCAAGCAAGTGAACTAAATAGGGGGAAAAATGCCTTTGACAACCGGGCGATTGCAAAGGCCGTAAGAAGAGAAAGAGAGCGCGCGCTTCCAGTTCGGCCGTGGTTAAAGGTACCTTTATGTTGACCGTGTGAATGGGGTATTAAACGATGTAATGTTTATACATTTTTTTTTTCAATCTGTACACACGGGCTTATTAACTTCAGAAATCCTTCTTTTAACCTACTCTCGCAGCTTCAGAATTTTGCCACAAGGTGTTCTGAACTACGCTATCACTATAGGGATTGAGAATCCATTTCTCGCAACCCCAACTCTCGGAATTTGAGGTCTCCCGCTAAAACGACACCAGACGTTGAATGGATGTGGGCCCAGCTGTGTAACAACACTGAAGACAACCCGAAAGGCAGTTCAGAAGGCATGACAAGAAAAAGGAGAAACTGAGTTTGTACACACATTTATTACATGCAACACTTCGTTCCACACAAATGAGAAAAACCGGGATATAAAAGAAGCCAACAAGGCCCAGGTGTTTCAGAAGGATAACAACGAAATTGATCAGACTCTGACAGTCAGTGAAGGGCGTTTGCTATACCTGCATTATTTGAAGGATAAACAACCAACCTGTAATAAATTTAGCTCCGCTCCTCACGCACCTTCACGTGTCTGTGAAGTAGCACTGCAGAGAAAGGCTTGTTTGAACTGTCGACACAGGTGACCTAGAGTGCCTTCATGACAAGAAAAAGGAGAAACTGAGTTTGTACACCTGTTCCCCGCATCCCTATCTAGGCCTAGCTCAGGCAGGCCTAGATAGCACATGAAGGCACCCTAAGGTGAGCCCTTGTCGGCACTGTTGTATGTGGCCAATCAGAAAAACACCGACTGCTGACATCGGTAAAAACTATTCTAGGCTGCTGCTTTTTTTCTTTTTTCGAAACAAGTTGCATTGTTTTGTTTAGGCTGACTCCCGGACGATATAGGACAGCTTTTATGCAGCACGCATTCGAATGTGCTGCGTCATGGTCCCATGCACGCTTTTGAACATCGCTTGTATTTGCAAGGCCTCTCGCCCATGTTCGCACAAATGTTCCCCATCAGCTCCTCAACTTCGAGAAGACTCGGGGACACTGCTCACAGTTCTCTTGACTGTGTGCCTTCGAATATGGCACATCAGGCTGCTTTTTTGACTATAGGCTTTGGAACATTGCTTGCGTTTGTCACGTTTCTCATTCGTGTGCGTTTGATTGCACCGCGACAGCGCCGAGCTCGAACGAAAGGCTCGGGGACATTGATTACATTCTGTGTGTATTCTAATGTGCCGCTTGAGATAGCCACTCTGGGAAAAGGCTCAGGGACATTGCTCGCGTTTGTAAGGTCTTTCACCCGTGTGCGTCTGAACGTGTCGCTTCAGATTCCCACTAAAAGTAAAGGCTACGGGACACAGCTCACAATCGTAGGGTTCCTCACCTGTGTTGATTCGAATGTGGCGATTCGCATAACTTCTACTGGCAAACGTGTTGTGGCATTGCTGGCATCTGTAAGGCTGCTCACCGACGTGGATTTCCATGTGGGTGGTCAAGCCCTCGCTTTGAGCAAATGCTTGAGGGCCTTCCTGGCATTTGAAAGGTTTTTCTCCTTCGTTGGCTCGAATGTTATATGCCGGATGACCGCATTTCTGAAAGGATGCTGAACGCAGTTGATGGTCGAAAGTTCTTTCTGGCTTGTGAATCTCGGTGTGGCAGCTCAAGTCTTCCGCTTTGGAAAAGGATTCCGGACAGAGCTGGCACTCAAGTCGTTCGTCACACCGAAGAAACAGGTGATTGAGGATTCCACGCTGGTCCCCAACGACATGGGCACAGAAACAGCACTTGAAGAGATTCTCGATTTTGGTTTCCGGCAGGCAGCCGACGTCTCTCGAGCAGGCACCCCCACAACCTGCAGAAACAGACATCCCGATGTTTATTACGAAAAACAAATACCAAAAACAAAAAATCGACGGTTTTTTTTTTTAATTTTTTATTGCGGGTAAGGTAGCGATAACAAATCGCGTTGTGTTTCTTTGCGGAGTTGCTGCACAGATTAACTTTGTGTGCGTTTTCCCACTCGACACCACAGAAATCGTCGAGGGTAGCATCTCCAAAAGAAACCTCTGCCATGGCTTGCGCTCTGGCGGGATTGGATCGCAAAGTTCATACCTCTTGTGGTCGTACACTCCAGCTTTGGGCCTGCTATTTTGCGAATCCCAGCTTTCCTCCGAAGCGGCGCTTGCTCTTTTTCGTCTCGCGTCCTGTACACTGTCCTGCCAAATGTACGAGTGCACTCGTTCCAAAGCTCCCAGATAACAAGGCTGCCATGCTGGATTCTCTACTTTAGCCAACACGGGGCAGACCGGACGTGAACACAGCGCCAGCGTTCGCTGGGACTCGGATTTAATAGTCAAGGACACGAGCTCTCGCCAAACGTTGATGCAGTACAGGAGTGTTACAGGACATCTGTCACAGGAAACTGCTAGGAGCCAGTCATACGACACATTCTGCATTAGAAACCACCAGCTGCCACTAGCTGCTGGATGGCAGCTGGTGGCAGAATAATATATTTAATCATTATGACTTTGCAGCAAATATACTGGCATGAAGTCCGGAATAGCCTTAAACATTGCCAGTTAACAATGCTCTTCTCACTTCCTTCTAAGTGCTTGGCAACTTTGCAGGAGTGTTTTTTTTTTATATGCACCAAGTGACAGTTTTTTAAAGCAGCAATGCATAGGCAGCACAGACTGATTGTTGAGCGGTTATGAACATTGAGTGGATGATATACTGTATCCCACCCGTATCTTGGCCCCGTAAAGGACTAATATAGCATGTTCAAATAAATAAATAAAAAATAATTTCAAGAATACGACCGGACTTTTATTTTATTATTCAGTCTCTTTCGCGAAATGCGACGACGAAATTGGAGGGATAGCAATTGCTTGGTGACGAAATCCTAAGGGTCGCTTTATTGGCGTTGTCAAAAACGCAATTCTTAGAATTTCGTCGACAAGCTTTGTGATCCCCGCACCGACAATGCTGTAAAGCCCTTAATGCTCGCGAGCCCCCAATTTTTGCGAATTGTTAAATGCGCCAACTTTGGTGGGCGCGAATATTTCTATTACCTGTAGATGCAGATTCCAGTCTTTAAAATTCGCGAGTTTAATGGTTGCGAATATGATTCAAATGCGGCTCACAGAGTGGACAGGAGCACCGTGGGTGCACTCGATTCGGGCTTGTGACAATCAAATCCTCAATATGCATTCGGGTAGTGGCTTGTGCCCAATCGCTGCAATGACGGGAATGGCCGAACTTCGACAACGTGCATGTGGAACTCAGCGCGTGTGCCCTGCGCTTTGCCAACCCCAGAATGTGACTGTGATAAACACTGGCGGCGTATAATTGGCTCCAGATCACATGGTGGCCTGTTCTGTCTGCAAGTTGAGGGGGTGAACACTGCTCGTTTTCCTCGAATTTTAACTATGACTACCGCAGCGTGGAAGAAAAATAAAAAAAGCGTGTTTTATAGGTTATGGAGGTGAAGGAATAATTCTCAATATTATTTACTGAAAGTAGAGAAATTGCTGCATCACCCCTTTAAGGATACTCGTCAGCTCCCAATCATTCCCCGCGGAAGGCAATTTAAATGCACGCTTTATTGACCACGTCCCTAGGGCATGAAGGCCTGAGGAGTTAGTAACCAAGCAAAAACGTTTACAACGGTCATTAGAAATCCTTTTGTCAAAACCAAACTTTCCTTTAATAAAAAAAAAAAAAAATAATAATACATTCTGAGTTCACGAAAGGCTTTGGGACATTTAACGGTTATTAAAC